GCCTCACCCCAGCCAGGAGCAAGGCTTAACTCCCATCCCCAAGGGCCAAAGATGGTGGTATGAACATTCTTCTTCTTTGATCTACTTTCCATCTTTCTCCCACCATACATCTGTGGTCTGAGGAGCCTGGGAAATGAGGGGGACGGAAGTCAAGGCCCAGGGTTGGGGTGGAGTGAGAGGTTGGGCTGGTGGGGGTGGGGGGGATCTGTGTGTCTCCCCCACACACCAGAAGGTCAAAGGTGCACAGAGCCAGACTCAGGACGGTGGGGCTCCCTCCTAGGCTTGGTCCTGCCACTTCCCCAGCTTCAGTTTCCCCAATCCTACAAGGAGGCAACTTCTCCCTTGTGTTGAGTGTGCAGACTAAAGGGGACGCTAATGCCAAGCCCCCCAAACAGGACACAGTGTAGGAAGCGGCTGGCCACTGTGGGCGGGGCCCCGTGTCCGTTGTTCTTTGAACGTTGTTTTGTGTCCTGGCTACTCAGCAAGCTTGTTGGCCTCTGCTCCGTGGGGTCACAGCTCCGGGGGCAGATGTGCCCCGTGCCCTCTGCCCTCCTGCCAGGCCAGCAGATCAAGGGCCCTGGCTCCTCTGATCTTTCCTCGCAAATGGGGAGCCACGGTGGAAGGACGCCTCAGCAGGAGGGGCTCCCCCCGCAGCCAGCGGTTCTCCATGGACCCTGGAGCGTGTTTGTCCCTCTCAGGGCCTCCACCATGGTCAGGGGGTTGACTAGTGGCCAAGTTTCTCTGCACGAGACCTTCCCAGGAGCTGGGTGGGGACAGGCATCTTCTCGACCTTCGACCTTCTCAGGGGCAGGTCCCTGTCTGCCTGTGGCTCCCTGACTTTGTGCCTTCTCTGGCTGGGCAGGTCTGCCCGGGAGCCCCCAAGCTTTCCGTCGGGGGCCGCCCCCAGCCCAGGAGGTGAAGTCAAGAGGCGCTGGCTCCGGCGGGGTTGTTCTGGGGGGTGCTTCCTGCCTGCCGTCTTCGGGTGCCCCTGTCCAGGTGCCCCGATGATCTCCTAGGGGCCTCCAGGGGGGACACGCTCACTGCTCTAAGCTCTGGTGACTCTCAGGCCCTGGGTTCATCCTGGCAGCACACACACACACACACACACACACACACACAAGCATGCGAGTCCAGGAAAATAAGACTCTTGAGGGCTGGAGTGATAGCACAGCGGATAGGGCGTTTGCCTTGCACACGGCCGACCTGGCTTCGATTCCCAGCATCCCATATGGTCTCCAAAGCACCACCAGGAGTAATGCCTGAGTGCATGAGTCAGGAGTAACCCCTGTGCATCGCTGGGTGTGACCCATCCTCCCCCCAAAAAAAAGAAAAAGAAAAAGAAAGAAATAAGGCTCCTTTCTACTACTCAAGAAAGAAACCATGATGTCGACTGATTCAGCCTTTTTGGAAAACAATATGGACATTCCTACAAAAACTAGTAATTGAGCCTCCATAGGAGACAGCAATTTTTCTCCTTGGAGTATACCCCAAGGCCCCCAAATTCAGTGCAGAAAAGCCCTCTGCACTCCTATGTTCATTACAGCACTATTTACACTAGCCAAAACCTCTGCCCAAGGACAGAAGACTGGATAAAGACACTATTGTGCATACACACAATGGAATACTACTCGGCTGAAGTCACGCAGTTTGCCACTCCGTGGATGGATCTGGAGAGCATCAAGCTGAGTGAAGTTCCCGAGAGGGAGAGGGACACAGAAGGCCTCTCTCAATGCGGGACATAAGGAAACTTAATGGGGAAATAACAAATGCCCGGAGGCAACCGTCAGAGAGGGACATGATATGACATCGGGGAAGGTAAGTGGTTGCTCTGGAGGAGAGCAGAGTGCTGACTGGAGGTAGAAAATGCCTACCATCGAGGCAGGGCGGGAAGGGGGGGGGCAGGAGGGGAGCTGGGGACATTGGAGGGACTGGTGTTGGAGCACTGTCTCTCTGAAACCCTTCCTGGATAACTTGGTAACTTTGTAACTCATGGTGATTCAATAAAAACAATTTTTTTTTTTGCTTTTTGGGTCACACCTGGCCATGCTCAGGGGTTACTCCTGGCTCTGGAATTGCTCCTGGCGGTGCTCAGGGGACCATATGGGGTGCTGGGAACCGAACCTGTGTCGGTCATGTTGGCTGCGTGCAAGGAAAACGCTCTACCCGCTGTGCTATCACTCCAGCCCCCTAAAAACAATTAAAAAAAAAAAAGAAATTCTGGTGCTAGCCAAATTCCTGGGGAGCAGCTCCGAGACCCTCAGCAGGGACAGAGACCCTTCGAGCCCGGGATACTCCAGAGCCAAGGTGTGTCCACAAGTATAGGGTTATGAATGACAGCCCGGATGCAGACGTCACCTCAAGGAGCCTTCCTACCGAAACTTTATCTTTAGCCCATTTTGCAAGGCTGATCTGCCAAGGCTTAGGGCCACATAGCCAACAAGTGCAGAGTTGAGACTTGAACCCAGGTCCATAGGTTTTTTTTTTTCATTTGGCCATATCCAGCAGTGCTCAGAGGCGGCTCCTAGCTCTGTGCTTAGGGGACCATATGTGGTACTGGGGATGATCAAACCAGGGTGAGCTGTATACAAGGCCTTACCTTCTGGACTATCTCTCCAGCCCTAAAGTCTGTTTTTAAACCCTGAGTCATCCCAATTCCAGAAGTCCAGAACTTTCCACTGAGCTCCTGGGTTGAATTTAGTGATAGACTAGTAAATATTTAACAACAAGTGCTCTCTCTCTCTCTCTCTCTCTCTCTCTCTCTCTCTCTCTCTCTCTCCACTCAGGGATCACTCCTGGTGGGCTCCGGGGACCATGTTGGAACTCAGGCCAGCCATGTGCAAGTCAAACACCTTATCCACTGTACTATTGATCTGGCCCACAATAGGCTTTCTGAAAAGGAAAGGAAAAGAAAAGAAAAGAAAAGAAAAGAAAAGAAAAGAAAAGAAAAGAAGTAGCCCAGATTCTGGAGCACATTTGTGCATGTCTGAGCTGACGCCACATCTTCTCCGGAGCACCATGCCAGGAGTAGTAGCCCTGAGTGCTGGTGGCTGTGGTTCCCAAACCCAAACCCAAAACACAACAATAACAACAAAAAGCCTGGGTGTGCCACATCTTCTGTCTTCCAATTCCCGAGGTGTAAATGTGGCTCTGTAGCTGTAAATGCTGCTTCTCGGCTGGCGTTCTGCCAGAGTGGTGGCAGGAGCCTGGAGCCGGGAGACGTGAGCCTAACACAGATGCCCAGGGTGAGGGCCAGCGCCTGCGTGCCCCGGAAGAGCTTCCCCCTGGTCTGAGGAGGCAGGAGAGGCTTGGAAACCTGCTCCTCCAGCCCAGCCTGCCCAGAGTCCTGGGAGCAGGGTTAAACTTTAATCCAGCCTTGCAAATAAGGGCAGCCACTTCTCAGTCTGACTTGCTGGGAGTTTGTGATCAGTACCTCCTCCCTGTGGCCTCAGTTTACCGGCCATAAGCGCATTCCTGGACCAAAGCCCTGGCTGTCCTCACATCTATCCATCCATCCATCCATCCATCCATCCATCCATCCATCCATCCATCCGAACTTTCCCAGAGTCCTCCGTGGCCACAGTCACTCCCATTTTCCGGCAGGGCCTGGACGGGGGCATTTTGGTGGATTCTTCCAGGTGCTGTAGGTGGACAGCTGGCTTGCCTGTCATCCAGGTCATTCTGGCTCCTAGCTAGCCCTTTGCGCTGTAACCGAAGGCCTTGGTCTCTGTGTAGAATTCCCTTTAGCTTCCTCCAGGCTTGGTGCTGTTTGTCCTGGCCGAGTGAGTCTTTGCTTACCGGCTGGGAGAGCGTTCAGGGGAGGACTGTGGAGACTGGGGAGGTGTGGAAAGGTGTTCGGAGCTGGATTCAGGCCCATCTACCTCTGCTGGACTCCAGGAGGACAGTAAAGAGCTAAGAGTGGGGTGTGCATCCTAGATGCTTGGGGTACACCCTGGAGGCTGGCCCAGGAGTGGTGGGGTGAGGTGCTGGCAGTCAGATGTGGCAGTTACCCAACTGTTCCCAGGCCCTGCAGCCAGACCCATTTCGCCTGTTATTTAGTTGAAAGTCAGGGCCAGGGGCTGGAGCAATAGGACAGCGGGTAGGACGTTTGCCTTGCATGCAGCTGACCCAGGTTCGATTCCCAGCATCCTATAGGGTCCCCCGAGCACCTCCTGACTGCAGTCAGGAGTAACTCCTGTGCATCGCCAGGTGTGACCCAAAAAGCCAAAAAAAAAAAAAAAAGAAAAAGAGAGAGAGAGAAAGTCAGGGTCAGGTTCTGCCTGAGGAGCACTGTCCGAGAGAGCCCGGTTGGTCTAACTTCCCTCTAGAGATGGACACCTTGTACTTTCCCTTACATACACTGCAATGAGCTCATGGGGCAGGCGAAGGTTCAAAGGGCTGGAATCCCGGGTTTGATCCCTGCACCTCTGAGCCGGAAGAGCCCCTCCCACGTCTCTGGGCGTGGCCCCGAACGAACAAACAAACAAACAAACAAACAAAACCCCCCAAAAAGTGAAGTCATGGGGGCGGGGAGAGTTAGCACAGTGGGGGAGGGTGTGTCCTGAGCGAGGCAGACTCGGGTTTGAGCCCTGGTATAAGCCCTACCTGCAGTGAGCCCTGAGTGCAGAGCTAGGAGTGAACTGTGAGCACCATTGGGTGTGCCCCCCACTCCCGCCACCCCTCACCCCCCTACACAGACACAAAAAAAGGGAGAAAACGAGAAAAGAACTCGGTATCTCTTCAGAAAAATGTCGCTCCTCCCACACTGCCCCTCCTGCCTAGTTCCCACCGTGGGTCAAGGTCAGGGTCCAGGGCCCGGTTCAGGTCAGGCGGCCCCCGCCTCCTGGGCTCTTTTTTCATCAGCTCCGGGGGACCATCACCACCCGCGGCGGGGGAAAGGGACCCAAAGCCGGGCTGGGGAGCACCTGGCCCGCCGGCAGGTCATTGTGGCCGCGGGAGGGGCGGGTCGCGAGGGCAGGTGGGGAGGAAGGGGGCGGGGAGGGCGGAGGGGGTCCCCGGGGCGGGGCGCCGGGCGGGGGGCGGAGCTGCCGTGCGGGCGCCGGACCCCAGGCTCCAGGGTGTCCCCCAGGCCCGGGCGGGACCCGGCCCGGCGCTTCCTCCTCCCGCCGCTGCTCTTCCTCCTCCTCCTCCTCCTCCTCCTCCTGCTCCCCGGGCCGCGGCCCCTCCCCCTCCCGCGCTCCCTCCTCCCCGCGCTCCTCCCGCCGCCTCCTCCTTTCTCTCCCGATCTGTCTCGGGGCCCGGGAATCCACCCGGCCTGCGCGCCGGAGCGGCCCGGCCGCCGTCTGCTGCCCCCGGCCCAGGTGAGCGCCCCCCGCCCAGGTGAGCCCCCGGCCGCGACCCCCGCGCCGCCGCCGCCGCCCCCGCCGCCAACCGCGCGCACCCCCGGCCCGAGCCGCGGCCCCGACCTGCCCCGCGCGGCCTTTTGTTGCGCCGGCCCGGGGGGGAGGGGGCTGCCGGGGTGGGGGGCGCGGGGACCCCCACCGGGCCCCGCCCGGCCGCCGCCGCCCGCCCCCCGCGCGCGTCTAGGCCGAGTCCGGGACCCGCGTCGCGCGGCGCCGCCTCTGGCCCCGCGGCCGGCCTGGAGCCCCCCGGGCCGGGGCCGCGGCGGGGCGGGCGCCGGGCGGGGGGTCGCGGGGCGCGCGGGGGTTGGGCGGCGGGACCCCCCGACCTCCCCCGGGCCCGCACGCGCGGCCGGGAGGGCCGGGCCGGACCTCCGGGTCCCCCGCGCCGGCCGCCGCCGCAGCCTCGCCCCTGGCAGGCCTCGCTGCCCGCCGCCGGCTCCGAAGTTGGCAAAAGTTTTGGGTTTTCGCCACCAGGTTGGTCCATCTGCCGGCCCCGGCTGAGTGTGGGGGTGGCTGGGAGCCCCCGCGGGGCCCCCCGCGGGCTTTGCTGTGTGTCCTCGGGCCCCCCGCGCTCCCTCTCTGAACTCCGCAGCGGCGGGAAGGTTTGACTGGCTCTGGGGGGCAGACGGAAGGGTTGGGGTCCCGGGAGCCCCAGCCATGTCTGGGACTGGGGGAAGGCGTGAGGACAGGAGCTGCCCAAGGGGCAGAGGCTTGGACACCCCAGCAATGTCTGTGCCCCTGTGTGAGGAAGGAGGGAGGCCAGGCCCAGCACTAGAATCCTGGCTGGCTGGTCCTGGGGCCGAGTCTTTGCACAGCCTTCTGGGCCCAGGGACTGTCCCTGTGTGGAACGGGGGCCCCCCAAGGGGCAGAAGCCCTTGGCGTGTACTAGGTGCTCAGTAAACGAGCACTTGCCCACTGGGCTGGGAGTCCAGGTGGCTGGCCTGGCGGGCTCATCTGCAGGAGAGGAGCCATCAGTGTCCCCCCCATGACTTCTCAAAGCCCCTCAAGAGAGAAGCCCCCCACCCCACAGTCCCCAGCCCTCCTGGGCTTGCAACCCGCTGCCTTGCTGAGTGTCCAAGGGGCCAGTGCTAGAACAGAGACTGTCCAGAGCCCAGCCCGGCTGCCCCTACGGTCTCCTCCCGAGGTTGGGGGGCAGGCACAGGACAGGGCGGGCCCAGGCGCGATTCTGTGGGAACCCCCGAGGTGCTTAGGGGATGTGGTTGGCCTCGGTGATGGGGTCTTTCCAGCCAGGGAGCGGCTCGTCACCCCTCAGCTGACAGCCTGTCCCGCTGCTCAGGGCACCGTGCCAGGAACACCCTCTCCCTTCAGCTGGCCGGCCCTGCCCTTGGCCTCTGGCCATCGGGACCCCCCCTCCCTCTCCCAGGACGGCCCCCCACCCCCCCTCGGGTGTGTGCTCCCCCAGCCCCGTCCGGGGGCCATGACCACCCCCACACCCCCGGAGCCTGCCTTGGCATCTTCCCCGAGGGAGTGTGGAGTCAGGAGGGAAGTTGGCGGGCAGGAACAAGAAGGAGCCGCTCCGTGACCAGCTGGCAGCCTCCTCCTCCCCCCGCACCTCGCCTGACCCCGATTCCCCCCGAGCCCTCCCCGATCCAGGCCTCGGGGTGACCCCCGATTGAGCCCCTCCTGTGTCCTGGGAGCAGGGAGCAGGCAGCGGCTGGTGACCGGGGCGACCGGAGGCTTCCTGGGTGCTCGGGTGGGGGGCATGGTTGGCTCCGGCAAGCAGGGCAGAGAAGATTCTGGCTTCACAGAATAGGGCCTCTTTCCGGGGTGCGGGGAGGCTCAGCCTGGGAAATGGGGAACAGGCCTCTGGCTGTCCAGACAGTCCCATCTGAAGGGCAAGCTGAACAGTAGCTAAGTTGCTAAGTAAACTTAGTTATAATCATAGATGTGATAAAGGGCTCAAGGTACAAGGTTTGGGGGGGGGGGGCGCAGAGGAATCTTGAAGGAAGCACGGAGGAGTCAGCTGGACTTGGGGCTGGGCCTGCCCGACGCAGGGCAACTGCATGTGCAAAGGCCCTGAGGTATGTGTGGGGGAGAGAGTGTGCTTCCAGGGGGAAGCAGCGGTCAGCCCTGGGAGTGTGGAGGGTAGGGAATTATGGTGAATGCTGCTGGTGAGAGGTGAAATGATGGGTGTCATCAATAGGTCTGGGCCATGTTGGGCTTGTGGAGGGGAGGGGAAGAAGTTGGGCCTTTATCTTCACATGGGTGGTGGGGGCCGGAGCGATAGCACAGTGGAGAGGGCATTTGCCTGGCACGGGGCCGACCCGGGTTCGATCCCTGGCATCCCATATGGTCCCTTGAGCACCGCCAGGAGTGATTCCTGAGTGCAGAGCCAGGAGTAACCCCTGAGCATTGCTGGGTGTGACCCAAAACGCCAAACAAAAGATTCACATGGGTGGGAGTGTGTATTGGGGGGACTTGACTGGTGTCAGCCACACTGTCATTATCAGCCACAGTGTTACCTTTCTGGGGGCCAGACTCTATTCGGTGGGGGGCCTAAATCAGGAATCAAGGGGAAGGGGACATTTGAGGCTGGGCTTTGAAAGCAGCATAGGAGTTCGCTGGAGGGAAGGCTGGCTGGAGGCAGGGAGGGTGGTGGGTGGTGGTTTGGTGGTTTGGGGCTTAGGGGACCAAATGCGCCATCAGGATCCAGAGTTAGGCCTGCCTGTAAGCGCCGCCCCTGGCCGTGTGTGTCTCTGGACCACTCTGCCTCTTGTCTTGAAAACCGGGTGATCCCTATACTACTTGAGTTGACGGGGGGGCCGTGTGCCCATGGCCGGCTCTGGCAGGAACTCGGGAGAGGGGCTTTCTTTGCCCCATGACCCGCTGGGCAGGATGCTGGCCACCCTGGCCAGGCAGTGAGGCCCAGAGCAAGGTGCCAGGGTGGGCAGAGCCACCCATGTGCCCAGATGAGGCTGAGCCGCGAGGGCACTGCCAGTGGTGCTCAGCCCGCTTCTGCGGTGCTTCTCTGGGGGGCTGCCCCTGGTCCAGGTCACCTCTCTGGCTTGGGGGCTTCGAACCCGGGCTGCTGCGAGCAAGGGAGTCACAGGAATGTTTTGTTCTCCCCGCGCAGACAGTTATGCTTACACTTGACCATCAAAGCAGCACACACACCTTCGTGGCATGTCCTGCGCTGCCCACGAGGCTCGCCATTCCCTGTGTCTTCCGTGGGGGTCATCTTTTCACTGGTGGAGGGGCCGGGGTATAAGCGAGGCACGGAGCGGCTTGGGCTGTCGAGGCCGATGAACCGAGTCAGAGAGGAGCTCTGAGCGACTGAGCAGGGGCCAGTGCAGGGCCCGTGGGCTTGAAGACCTCTCAGAGGCCTCAGTGCCTGCCCTGGGCGGGCTCAACAGAGCTGGGTTTCCTGCCTCGTCTTGTGGCCGCTGCGCCCCTCTCCCTCAGGTTTCCGTGGCCTCCTCCCCCCGCCCCCCCCCAGGGCTCCCACCCCCTTATCTCCCTGTGAAAACTTGGGCATCTGGGATGGGGGAACTTCCCCTGGGACACCTCAGTTTCCTCCCGTCTCCACTGGGATCCTGTGAGTCACGGCTCCCGGGAAGTCCTGGGGGGCCGGAGATAAAGTGTCATCCCGTGGGGGCTTCCTCCCCGGCACTGCACCCCTCCTTCCACTCACCCTCCGACGCTCTGGGTGGGTGTGGAGGGGCTGGAGCCACAGCACAGCGGGGAGGGCGTTTGCCTGGCATGTGGCTGACCCGGGTTCGATCCCTGGCATCCCATGTGGTCCCCTGAGCACCGCCAGGAGTAACTTCTGAGTGTTGCTGGGTGTCGCCACTCCCAACCCCCGGAAAAAAGCAAAACATAAAGTGGGTGTGGGCTGGTATTAGCAGGGCTGCGGGGAGATGGGGGTGAGGCCGTCCCCCGGATTCCTTAACCTGCCGCCCCCACCCCTACCCGGAGCAGACTTCCCCAGATTCAGGCCCTGCCCCCGCTACACGTCCGCAGGCGAATCACTTCCCCTCTCTGATGCCCGGTCTCTGCGCAGACCTTGGCAAGGGCCCTCAGCTAGTGTCCCCGAGCTACTGGGTGCCCTGGCCGCTCCAACACGGCGAACTTCCCTCTCCTCTCTGTAGTGGGGCCAGACTCCCACTGTCCAGCCACCTGCTGGGGGAGAACCATAAGGTGGCCGTGTCTGCCCCAGCTGCAGGTGGACACTGACCAGGGTCTCTGCGCACCGGGGGCCTGTCCTTTCTCATCTATCCTGTTGGTCATCGCACAGACTGGGGAGGTGAGGTCACCCCTACCCGGATGGGGAGGAAAAGGCCCACTTCCTGTTGTGGGACCCGCACATGGCCTGAGTGGGACCCCACCAAGGGGTGCGTGCTGGGCAGGGGTCCTGCTTTTTTTTTTTTTTTTTGCTTTTTGGGTCACACCCGGCCGATACTCAGGGGTTACTCCTGGCTCTGCACTCAAGAATCACTCCTGGCGGTGCTCAGGGGACCCTATGGGATGCTGGGAATCAAACCCGGGTCGGCCGTGTGCAAGGCAAACGTCCTACCCGCTGTGCTACCACTATAGCCCCCCGAGACTCCTGCTTCTTGCTGTGGATCCATGTCCCCTGCGTGGGGCCTGTCCTTCTCCTTTCCCCGGCCCCTCGGAAAAAACCCGGAATGAAAGCAGCAGGCTGAGGGGAGGAGCGGAAGGCCTGACCAGCCCCTTCCTGTGCTGGCCCTCAGGTTCCTCCTCTGTGCCCAAGGCCAGCCCCAAGGCCAGCCCCGAGGCTCTGCATCAGGAGCCCCTGCCCAGGAGCTGTGGCATCCCACCCAGTGTGGGGTGGGCGTGGCAGAGGGACCCTGGCTGCAGGTGGGGTGGGAGTCAGGACGTGCAGCTGCCTCCCCTGTTGGGGTCTTGCTTCCACCTCGCGGTTGCCCTGTCCACCTCTGCCCCGACTTCAGGGATGTCACACCCCGTGTCCGCTGCCTGGCCGTGCTGTAGCCCGGG